CGTGGGGACTCCCGAAAGGGCAAAATAGTCATTTCCACGAAAAATCACCAAAATGACCTTTCGGGTCATTACATCTAACAACAAAAGAAGAACAATCAGTAATGTGGCATGATGAAGAAGAATCAAGTTTAGGACAACCATCTTTATTATCAACAGAAGAATGTTTTAAAGTAGGTGGTGTTGAAACTTCATTACACTTAGCTAAAGAAGGAACAAATGAAAATCACATGAGGTATCTTGATCCCAGTAGACAATGAACAACAGTAGTGGCACTTTGAACATAGGAAATATAAAGCATTCTTAGGTCTACCAAGTTCCAGAGGTCTCTTCAGAGAAGGGCCCTGCAACAAACAAGAAATGCTATTAAAACATACCACACCGTTGAGTTAAAATGCTAGACAATGAACTGATATTAGATTAAACTTGAAACTAGAAACAAAGAGCACTTTCTGCAGAGTTAAAATTGGACTTAAATAAACATCACCATTTTCAGTCATTTTGACTTTGTAACCATTTGGTAAACTGATAAGGAAAGGATATGGCAATGGTCTAATATTTGTGAGAGTGGTTTTATTGTAGGTCATATGATGTGATACTCTTGAGTCTATGATCCAAGAGTCAGCAGTTAATCTTACATATCTATAAGAAAGATCACATATCTCAGTAATAGAAGAGTAACAAGCAAGTATACCTGCCAGGTTCACAGCTCTACTTAGCATGTTGTCTGAGTTAGTAGTTCCAGCTTGCAGGGATCCCAAAAGATTGAGTAGTTGTTCATACTGATCTTTGGACAAATTCAATGGCATTTGTTTCCTCAACTGTCTTGTTCACACTGGTTCCCATCATTCTCAGATGTGCACATATTTGCTGCAGGAACAACACTCTTCCCCTTTGAAACCTTTGAGTTGGATGGATATCCATGAAGCTTGTAGCACCTCTCTCTTGTGTGACATGTTCTCCTGCAGAAATCACAAAATAAAAAGCTCATGCTGGTGCTAGAATTACCTCTGAACACACTTGTGTTACTCAAATTTCCAGACATTCTTGTGTTGCCTTTAGAAGAATTGTAGTTTGTTTTGGGTCCTCCCTTAAATCCTGTATTA